CAAGCATCAAACAAGCACTTGATGCAGCGAAACTATTAAAAAAATACTTTTTATATAATCAAATTGATCCAGCAGTATCTCAAGATATGAGTAAGATACGTAACAAAATACAATTAAAATATTGGAGCAGCAAAAAACATCAGACGAAGATAACAGGCTATACGCAATGTATGAATAATAATGTTCGTGTGCAACATGTGTACTATATTACTATATTGGTAAATGCATATTATTATAGAATAGTAAAATAATATCTTTTATTTCTCTCCATTTAACTACCACTCGAAAAATGTTCAGTCTCTTAAGTGTCGTTATATAGAGTTTACACTGTATTTGGTATATGGTACAGTAAATATAATAAATTAATGTGCGGGTTATCGAGTAATAGCAAAATAGGTATTAAATAAAAAATACTAAAAGAAGAATGTAAATATTTCTTTGAATTTTTCGAAAGAACGATTGTAGTATATGTGTAAATAATAACGGTTGGATGGATTCCATTTTAGTGGTGTAGGGGTGGAAAATGTATTTCCAGAAAACTGAATCCATTTAAAATGGCTTACGCAAGTAGTCCTGGAGCACTCGTTATAGAGAAAGTGGATGGAAGCTGGTCAAAGTGGAAGTCAAAAGGTGAATGCGATTCAGGCTGCTTATTTGGAGAAGAAGGAAGACTTAGAAGTGGTAGCACAGGAATCGAGGTTTCTGTTAGGAAATGTGATAACCCACGGTAAGAAAATATTTTTTTTTAATAGTGCGTCTACGAAAAGTTTCTTGATATCATGCAATATTTTCTTTTCCTTTTAGTCCTCAAGGAGGTGGTAGAACTTGTCAAGGAATTGATAAAAGATATCAGACGTGTGTCGCAAAGCAATGTTTGAATGTACCGCGTTTGACCATAAACGAATTTGCAAACCAGATTTGTACCAGAGCGAAAGATGTAGACAAGGAATTTACTGGGTTTGGATTCCAAAAGAATAGTTTAGACGGTGAGTTTTCTTTTTAATTTGAAATACTTATTAAAAATCAGATACAAGGAATTTCGCTTAGAAAATGTAAAAGGATGGTATCAATTACATGCTAAGCCACAGTAAAGGGTGAAATTTTGCAAGTTCAAATTCGAAAAATTATGAATCAATTTCTTGAACTACCCTAATATACATTTTCGTCAAAACAGATGCTATATTACGTCATCTCTGTCGTTCAAATTTAAATTGACTTGAACCACATTATAGAGCCATATTTGATGAGACTTAAATAGGACTCGAAATTGTGAACTATTTCCTACAATTTCGCAAAAACATTATTTTCGTCAAAACGTGTATCAGTTTAGGACACTCTGTTGTGCTTATATAATTCAAATTTATATTGGCATAAACCACAGCAAAGAGTTATGGGCCCATAATTGATGATGGGTTAAAAAGGACGAAATTATAAATTGTTTCCTTCGTGGAGACACTGTCACCTGACGACACTCTGTCGCGTGTTTATCGTACAAATTTCAATTGGTTGGAACAACTGTAAAGAGCAAAACTTAGGCGACCAAATCTGATAATTGGGCCCGAAAAATAAAAATTGTTTCCTTCGAATTCGTAAAAAAGCATTTTCCTGGAAACACTGTCACCTTACGACACTCTGTCGCGTGTTTAACGTACACATTTTAATTGGTGGGAACTATTGTAAAGAGCGAAATTTGGACAATCCAATCTGATACTTAGTTAAAAGGGACCCGAAAAAGATAAATTGTTTCCTTCTAATTCGTGAAAACACATTTTCATGGAAGCACTGTCACCTTACGACACACTGTCGCCTGTTTGTCGTACAAATTTCAATTGGTTGGAACGAAAAGCGAAATTTGGGCGACCAAATCTGATAATTGGTTAAAAGGGGCCCGAAATTATTAATTGCTTTCTTCAAAACTGCAAGAACACATATTCGTGAAAACGCTATACTTTACGACACTCTGCCGCGCTTTTATCATATAAATTTAAACTGGCTTACGTGTTTCTGGGAGAGCTTTTAAATAAAAAAAAAAACAAATTATAAAATCCCCAAATATCGCGTATTTTGAAGTTTTTACAACAAATACATTTCTGGAATACGGGACCAGTTACAAGTCCCCAAGAGTCCGGTCCAGATGAATAGTGCCTTATTTGCTACTCTTAAACCCCAATTGGATTCAAATATACAATTGCTAATGTAATCACGTTTTTTTAACGAATCTTTTCGAAGTTTTTGATCTGTCTACTTTGTACGTTCGGTTACTTAATCCAGTTATCATACTTATTATCTTATTATAAAAAAGTGCCTTTAAAAAGAGAAATTAAAGTATATAGATGGAGTAAATGAAGTATGCAACCCAAATAACTTTCCAATTAAATACAATTTGAACAGCTAAAAACATGTATACAAATGCCTTTAATTTTATAATTAAAACGTCGTTTTGATGAAACATATTCTTATGTTTTATTAAAAAGAATGTTTTCCAGGACTGACAAAAGCTATTAAAAAAATTTAAAAGAGCTAGAAATTGTACAAAAATTTATAAACTAAATAACTTAATACTTGAACGTCGAAGTTTTAGCATACGTTTTTTTGGTATTTATTATAAAGGAGAGGAATGAAACTTTGTTACTGTTAAGTCAGATAAAATTTAATTTATTAAACTAATTTATAATTAAAGCTCACATACAACGCGGGCAACCTAAGGGTTCTATTCCCGGTCTATTCAGTACGTTTTCTTCTTATATTCGGTAAAATAAATTGGTTAAATATCACGAGAAATCTACTTAAATTTATGATGGTCATTAACTAATATCCCGATTTTTACGAATTAGCTCAAGAATCTTGCGCTGTTTGGTGTCAAAGGCGAAACGGCCAAATTAAAGCACGGGGTTGGAGCTTCCCTGATGGAACAGTATGTAATATGAAACGTGGAAATAGTACAGAAAGCCCAACTTATTGTATCAACGGACGATGTGAGGTAAAAATAATAAGTTCTTTGCTTTACAATAATAAAGTAAAAATCAAAATAAATAAAACAGAAAATGCCCTTTTTTTTAGGAATTCATCTGTAAGTCTTCCGAGGAAACTAAATTTCTTCAGCATTCTGAACAATGTCCAAAAATAAAAGTAGCTTCGGAACTCTCGCAAAAGTTAAATAAAAGGAAATCAATGGAACCTGTTGAAAATTGGACTGTCGCAAGCAGTTGTCATTACAATTGTATTGTTCCTGGCAAGGGAATTCGCTTGGTTTTTAATAAACATAAACGAAAATATTATACAATTCAATTGTGTCAGCCAAATAAACAAACTTGCAATAAACTTAAATCTCCATTACAATATGCTTCAATGATATGCCGTCAGTATAAAGATAAAGTACAAGGTTTATCCGGATTTGGTTTGCAAATTTTTCCTAATGATGAGGAAGATGTAGATAGACCCTGCAAAGTTGCTTGTCAAGATGATAAAATTTTGCATAGGTTTTATCTAGTTAATGGTAAAGGGGGTTGGTTTCCATTCGGGACAGAGTGTTCAGGGAGAAACATGAAAAGAAAAGCTTACTGCGTTAGCGGAAAATGTATTGTAAGTATACAATTAAAATTAAGAAACAGAACGGTTTTCCTTTACTTTTTTAAATTGGTTGCACTGATTTTGATAACAAGTTCCTTGTACAGAAATTTTCTATTTTTGCCATTTTTTCTTCTGAACAGTAGTTCAGAGTTTAATATTTGATGGTCCCTAACTGTCTTAAAATGTATAAATAGGATACCCCAGATGAGACTGGCGATTCTTTTTATTATGATTTGCAAAAATTAAAGCGTTTACACTATTCCTTCTGATTATTTTTTTATTTTAAGGAATTTACCCAAGAAGACGTTCCGCTTTCTGAATTTACGGATTCGTTATTTCCAAAGCTTTTAAGAAAACGACGATGGTTAAAAAATACAGTGAATTAATCTAAAGGTAGATTAAAGAATGTATTAATATTAAATATTATAATTGGACTGTGATTTTGCACTTTACTATAGTCATTCCTATTAATAAAGCATTTTTAGTAAATTTAAGTATTGACATGATTTCAATTGCGGGAAAGTTGTGGACATACAAATACTAAGAAATTAAAAACTTAATAAAAATATATTTTGATGCAATAACATATTAGATAAACTATAAAGTAACAGACAACATTATAATTTTTTATGATTAAATACACATCTTACTAGTTATTGATGTCATAAAATTAATACAATACATACTTTTATTAGTACGGCCTAATACATATTGTTACGATATATATTAATAAAATATCATCAGTTAATTAAACATTAAAATTGTAATTTTTCTTTTCTCATTCTCATATGGTAAAACTTTAATGTTTAAAATTGAAATATAAATTTAATCGTTATTTGAGCTTCAGACGCAATAATTTTCGAACTATACCTGGCCCATTCCACACTCCTCTTAACATCAAGTGCCAGTAAAGAGGAGGCAGAATGTCCTTCTTTAAGAAATAGAATATCCATCTTTCTTGGTCTTGACGAAATGGTAGAGTCTCTAAAGGTTGTAAATCATAATCAAATTCAGCCAATATACATGAATTATATCCTGTTACTAGAGGACATGATGCATAACCATTGTATGATCTTGACATCTTTTTTCCATCTATCAGGCAATTTATATTATCATATAAAACTTTTGATTGACATCCTAAAACATTAATTTATTTTAAAAATTAAAGTAATAACAATATTTTTCTAATTCCCTATTATTTTAAATGTATTTTATTTATAAATTTTAATTAATGTACCAATAGCTGCTGCAGTTTTTGAATTAGGTGTGCTACAACAATCTCCAAGTGAAAAAACATTTGGAAATCGTATGTGCTGTAATGTGTTCTTATCGACATCAACAAATCCAGCTTCATTTACAAGAAGTTTGTTTTTCTTTATGACATTAGGAGGTGACATTGGAGGAGTAACATGTAACATGTTGTACTAAAATAATAGTATAAAGTTACAAAACTGCTTTTTCATTACTGAATAAAAGAAGCAAACCTCTAATTGAGTTTTGATATCAGGGTTGTCCAAGTTCTCAAAGTAAGCAATTCTCTTATCAGGGTCAATTTTAACAAGATTTGTCCTCAAATTGACATGAATTCCTCTATTTTCAACAATCTTCCAAAGAGCATCTGCATATCGTTTTACACCAAAAATAACAGGTAATGAAGTGTTATAATAAATGTTAACTTTGTCCCGTTTTCCATTCTAAGAATTATAATGCAGATTACATGAAATCTATAAAAAATTAATATACCTTACAATTCTAAGGTAGTCTTCAGTTAAATAACATATTTTTTGAGGAGCACCTGGACATTTTACAGGACTATCAGGATAAGTAAAAACTGCATTGCCCGATTCTAATTTCTGTAAAACTTTGTAGGTGTTTTCCACATATTCTGGTGAATAATTTGAGCAAACATAGGGTGTTGTCAAAGCTTCATTTAGTCCTACAATCTTTGCATCAATTTATTAAAAATCTCTGCTTTTATTCTTTCATTAACATAATATTTATAAAAAATGGCAACTGTACCTCTTCAAAATGTAATATCAAGCCAGTAGATATGACTATATAGTCATATGTGATTTGATCACCATTAGATAGTAAAACAGAGTTAGTTTCAGGCTTAAATTCTACAACACTATCCTTTATCCATGTTGAATTTTTAGGAAGAACTGAAGCAGTACTACGGAGTGAATCTTTAAGAGACCTTATACCAGCACCAACTAATGTAAATAATGCCTGATAATAATGGATATCACTGGGCTCAACTATTATGAGTTCATGTTTCTTGAGTATTTTAGAAAATTTAGCAGAAACTGAACAGCCTCCACTGCCTCCTCCAACAATAAGAACCTTACAACTAAAAACTTAATTTTTATAAAGAGTAGTAACAAAAATAAACTCTACCTTAAACTTTTAAATCTTCTGGCATTGATAGAAATATTCTGACCAATTGGACTTAAATGTAACAGTTTCTTAATATTATTTAATGCCATATTTGTGATTGTAGAGGAGCACAACTAATAAGATATTAATTAAGGTTTCCAGAACTGTTTACTAAATAACCAATACTCTAATTATAACTGTACTCAAAACCTAGATAATATGGCACGAATACATTCGATAAGAAGTAAATAAAAATAAAATTAATTACATAATTTCGGTTAAACAATTTTTTAGACATTAGAATATGTTTTAAATGATATGACATTTAACTGTCACCATAGACTGTCACGAACAACAATTCTAGGTCACACATAGCCATAAACTACAAATGTCAAAACAGACTTGACTATTTCACAATGGTTTCATAGAAATACTAGAGTCGCAAAAAATTATATGAAAAGTTTTAATCTTTAACCTTTACGTATATTTGATAGGATTTTCATTATGTCATATTAATTTTCTTTTTCAACAATAACACTAAAATTCTAAAATTTATAATTGTAATCGTTTTTAGATTCAGGAAAGGTGTTGAATTAATTTTTTTACTGTTTACTATTTTACGAGAGAATAGAAAAATTAATATTAGGTATTCCTTCTTTCTAATCGTTAAAAACTGCAAAAAGAATCATTTTACGAATCAGTATCTTTTCGGTAACGGTTGCTTTTTCGCTACCAAATAATATTTCATGGTTTCGTACACTACGTCAGTAAAAGTGAGATGCACTTATACAAATTGAATGTGGTAGCGAGCATCTGTCTTGTCCAGTCTTGTCTTACAATTTTTGGCAGTTCGACTTGTCGTGTGTATTGTGGTTACTGTGTGTGTAGTATGTGGATTCGAGGATCTCCGAATAAAAATGGCCGTTCTTTCTCTTTCCAAAGTGTAAATTAGGTTCGTAACTGCAAATAACTAAAACGCACTTATTATCGGTTATTAATTTTTTAACTTTAAATAATTTAGAACGGATTTTTTAACTAATGCTTGTACAATTATTATATAAAGTATGTTCAACAACTGGGATGTTTAAGGTGTATCTGTTGAAATACATAGTTCATATGATAAGAAAGTAAAATCCTGTAAAAATTTCGCAGTATTTACTGTAACAGGCAACGATTTTTTTCTGGTGATTATTCTTCCATGGTGGGCATTAATGAAAATATTTATTTATTTTTAACAATAACAAATCACGTTTCTCAGGAATCATACTTCCTCCTCCTTCGCAGTGACTCAGAACATCATTTTCTTAGAGGACTCCCCCTTCCTCTTACCAGCAACAAAAGAAAAGTTCGTTTTCATTCTTTAATGTAAACCGTAAACAGTATGGTTTTATGGTTTCAAGAATTTTAATTAATACTTTAAAATTGTTTAGCTAACGTGAAAGTTTAATCAGAGAATGAATATCGTATTTCACGAGGAGTAATAGGTATATTTCTCTTTAAAAGCAATATTTGGAATTTCCTTGAATTTCTCCTAATTCTTTGATTTTCATNCCTGTCTGTTATGTGAATTGTAAACTTGCATGTAGGAACATAATATTTGATTAGGTGTATTTTTTGTGTTTACACAGTTATTTCGTTTTTAAATATCAGTGTAATTATTTATATAAATTTAATGATGGATCAAATTAATCCGTGTAGTTAATTAAAATGTATTTAAGGACATGGTACATGCCTGTAATGTTAATGAGTAAGTATTTTTATTTAATAAAAACAGTTTTAAATAATATAAATGTATAGTCAAATGTATTAGGATAGAATACAAACATGTCAGTTTAATATTTATAAAGAAACATTAAAAGCACTTATATTGTCAACACTTTTATAACTACAAGCATTGTAAAGACTTTATAACAATGAAAGATCTTTTAATTTAGAGTCAAATGCAAAGAATGGAAAAGATGACGATTAAAACAGAAAATGCCACAACAGACTCGACCAAGCTAAAGCAACAGTGCACTGAACCTCCCACATCGACTGCTGAAGTATGTTTTGTCTGTGGAAATAGGAATAATTTCCATTCTTGTTGGCTGTATGTGAAACCACCTCCAAATAAACCTAAAGAGCCATATTTTCCCTTTTTGGAGTCTCATGAGCCGCCACTAGGCTACACTGCAACTAATAACAAGGGGGCTGTAAGGGCATGTCATTTATGCTATACATTATTATTGCAACAGTGGGATACATATGAAAGGGCATCACGACCCCATTCGGAGCGACTATACTGGCTTAAAAGGGTTGACAATGGACCGTACACTGGGGCTGATATGGGTCTTCAGGTAAAGACATCTAGTTTACTCTTTCATCTCACTTAACTACCTTGCATTTTTTTTTGTAATCCACACTACTTTGTATTAGAACATAATCTTTAATCTATCAGTAAATGAGAGATACTAGTATACTGAAGATATTTGAAGATCATGTCAAATATAATGAAAACTACCAAACTGAATTGATAAATCTTCTCTTTTGATTTTAATTTATATAATATTACACAGTACAGTCTTCGGACTAAGCAGTTTTCAACTGACTTTCAAATCAAAATAACGTCAACAACACCTACTTATGCAAACTTGTACATAATATATATATCTTTGTATAGTTACATACTTTACAAACATTTATAAGCGGTATCCAGTTATCAATATTATAGAATGCGTGGAATAGTACTATGAAACAGTTAAAATTTAAATTCACCAGTGGTGTATTAAAATACAATATCTCTTTTAAAAAGATGTTGACACTTTTCAATTTATTAATTTGTAAAGCCTCTAGAAAGTCAAGTTTATTGTTACAAGTGTGTAAAATTTTTAATTTATTAGATGTGTAGATGATTAAGTTGATGTAGCTGATGTATAACGTTGTTTAAACGGACTTAATATAAAACATCCTACCCCCAATGTACATCAGTATTAAAACCCACTTCAGCAACGCATTATTAAGGAATGCTATAATAACAACGGTGAGAAAATGGTTAGTGGAAGATATAAGAAAATCATACAACAATAGAGACATAATAAGTGTTTATCTTAAAGTTAGTAACACAGAACTTTTACGTAGAATCCTTATTATCGAGTTTAAATGTGGTAGGTAGTGAAAGAAGATTCAAACATACAATTAAAGACATTACAGGAAATATACAAAACAATACAATAAGGTAAAAAAATTAAAAAGGTCTTTGAAACAAGCCAATAATAGCCACAAGTGGAATAGTCTTGAGAATAACTATCCTGATCATAATCTTTCCATAGTTTTGTATATTTATGTAATATAAATTTTTACAAAGAAAGAGAATGCGATTTTTTAGAAAAAGGATTTAGGTTTAATTTTAACACAGAAAAAAATAGTAGAATAAAATAAAGTTTAGCCACTGAATGTAAAATAAAATACAAACGTCTTGCTTGATAACCTTATAAATAAAGTACAAAAAGAAAGATATGAATTAACGAACATTATAAAAGACAGAAATAGTTTAAAAATCAATAAGTCACACTACAACTAAAGAGACGCAAGTATTACTTTGAACAAGAAAATCAGATCCAATAATATTATTGTAACTTGAACGGATAAAGGTCAAACAATCATAACAATAGATAAACAACAATAAATATTTCTAAAACATTTAGATTCCTAAAGAATAGAAGTTTTATAAAAACTGAAAAAAAGGCCCAACAAATAAATTTCAGAAGGAAGCAGAAAAATGCTTTAATTTTATCCCAATTTTCATGCCACTTAATGCTTCAGATGAACCCACAACTCCTTATAATTAGTAATAAAATTACGTAAAAATAATCCTATTAGACCCCTAATATCATAAGTACAATCTTATACAATATTTAATTTTAAACAAATCTACTATTAAAAGGTGTGTCTTTAATGGTCAGTATTCTTGGATTTGATTATTAGTAGATAAAAGGACCATTTAGAATTTAGTATCTATTTATCGTAAATCAACATATACACATAGTATTATACTAACAATTCACTTTATAGTTGTATTTGTAGTCTTTTTCTACAGATAATTTTATTAAATAACAATACAAGCAAGCCATAAATGAAATGCTCGTTTTACCCGCATGAGAAAATAAATTTTATCACGTTATTACATATATAAGAAAACTTTTAAACCGAATTGTGAGCCATTTTAAAAAGCGTGGTATTGTTATATCATTTCGAACAAACAAAAGTTTCCAAAAAATGCCGAAAAATAGGTATAATAAATAAAAAAGATAAATCAGGGGTATACCAAATGAATTGCGATTCATATAATAAACGACGTTGGACAAACAAACAGATTGTTTGAACAACGTTTGAAAGAACATAAATATGCATACTAGACAAGTCTAGCTACTGAAACCATTTAATATGGAATCATACATACAAAGATGAATTAAAAATTTTATACACTTGTAACAAAGACAAATAACTTAGTTTTAGAGACTCATAAATTAAAAAATAATAACATATTGTTAAACGAATTTAAATACATCAGCGTTGTTGGGTTTTTTTACTATTTCGTAGTATAATTCCACACATTTTATGCTGCATATAATACAAATGTTTGTGAAGTATATAACTTTGTACTGATATGTTTCTAGATATCTGTTGGAATATGTACATCGTGTTTATACTATTTTGATTTTGAAGAGAATGTGATATTGAAGGCTTTTTGAAGAGGGTACCGTATTACCGAAAGAGCTGTAAAATCTAATATAATAATGCTGTACTCTAATGATATAAATAAGAAAGAGTGAAGATATACCAAAAATAACAGTTTGGTTGTTTTAATTACATACCAAAAATATATGTTTTGACATTGGTTAATTAAATTTGTTTTACTAAAACGAAATTCCATCACGTCTGCGTAATTTTAAATAATGATTTAAATCTAAAATTCGGTTTGCATGAGATTGTATCATTAATAATACCACATCATTTTCATTGCAAAAGTATCGCGGTTTTCAATCACTCCTTTAGTTGAATATTAATGCTCACTGTATTTTTGATTAATGGTTTGCCAAGTTGGCGTAACCTGAAACACGTGAGAAGACTTGCAAAAATGCAATTATAAATAATACACGCCACAAAGGCGTTACTGTACCATATTTTTTTGAAAATATGAAATATTCTCACTTATTAATTTAAAAAAATGCTTGTTATGTTGGATATGTAACTACAAAAAAAATACCGGATTGATTGTGAAATGGAAATAAACTAAATAGTAAGCCATTAAGAAGTACTCACTATCTAATAACAAAATGTAAAATATTTGTCTTTAAACCTGTTCTTTAATTATTTAGCGAATTACAGGAACCGGTTACTATTTGAGAGACTAAGGAAAGTGTGGTGTTTTCTGTTGAATTTCGAAAATTTGAATAGTCTATTTGTTTTTTACATAAATAAATTACACCTTTCAATTTCGATTAGGGCGAGTATGCTGCACAATTATTAGGTTTGAATAATGACAGTGCGACTTCGCCCCCATCTGGAATTCAGACAGCGACAGCTCCACCCACCGTTTCTTCGAGACCCCAATCTGTCATTGGTAGAGAAGAAAGCAGTACCAATTTCCGATCGCAAAACACTCTGACTTACTACAATCGGGGCTCTCCTAGGCCCCCATCACAAGTGAAGGTTACAATAATGATATTGTTTATTTAAAGAACAGGCAGTATTTACCTTACATATGAGACATCATAACATGTAAAATAATTTATTCCAAAGAAATATAACCAGTTTATATATAGGCTATTTAAGGGTTCTTGGGGCTTTTGATTTAACTTGGGGTTTTACATTAAATTGGTCCAAGTTATCCTTATGATCAGTTTATAATCAGTAACTTTGAAAATGAATCAAAAGCGCTATATTTTGAGCGACTTTAAAATAAAATGTTTTTGTACCGATTTACATTTTCTTTAGGTTTCAATATCGGATAGAGACGATCGCGATGAGACAACGAATGAAGCGGCTTTAGACTTACGAAACACGAGTTCGAGCAGTCGTAGCTCGCCTATGACGTTGGCTCCATCTTCGGCACCTCCCCAGCCGATATACCACTGTCAGAATTCGAACTCGTCGTTAGGAACAGGAGGTGGCAGCACCGGTACAGATATTCTTGATCTAAGCATGCCTGATAAGAATGCTGCTACTGAAGTTTGTTACGTATGTGGGGATGAATTTAAAAGGGGAAGTCTCGACTTTATAGCAGCCAAACAGCTTGCAAGTGAAACTACATTGACAGCTTGTCAACCGTTTTTTCCTAGCCTGATGTTACATCCAAGACCGAGTAGGTCGAGACCTATGGATTCAACAGGTAAAGGAAACTATCCCTAAATTGAGAGTAAAATAGGTTTTTGGAATTAAATCTTTAATATACAACAATATATTGAAAAATAATAAGTTTCCTTATTTTAAGGTCGAGTCCAGGCATGTTCAGAGTGTCAACAGCACTTATTACGACAATGGGACGTGTTTCAAAGTCAGGGCGTGCCTCATTTGGATCGAAACTACACTCTTAGGAAGAGGCAAGCAGCAGCAGTTGACACTACTACCTTTATCTGTTACACGTGTGCTTTGGAATATCCTTCAAGTTCGTTACGTCTTCTCTATTGCTGTCCCAATCCCGAAAAGGAACCTTATTTTCCTTTTATTCAAACGCTTAAGGCTCCTCCTGGTGCTAGTCCAATTAGTCCCCAAGGTACATTCTTTTTCAAATGCATTTAAGTTTTGAATTTTCATTTATTTAGTTATTTAATGAGAGTAATATAAAATAACTTTTGAATATTAGGAATGGTCCAAGTCTGCTCAATATGTTACAAGTCGATACCGCAAAAGCATCAAGTTTTTGGTGATGAGTGTGGTGGTGTGATAGTGAATAACAATAATCATCACCACGGAGGTCAAATGATGCCTATGGATGTGACAAATAGTGTTGGTAGTGTTCCTTCGGTTCAATCTGGTGGTCTAGTGACTACAGTTTCAACCAAACAGGCGGGAAGTAACAGTCATTCAGATATTCGCTACAGACCGTATGAAATTGAAAAGTCGGCTGTAGCAACCGCAAAAAAGAAGCAACAGGCAGCTGTACAGGAGGCCACTACGCGACGGGGACAAATGCAAAAGGATCGAAAAGAACAAGTTAGTTTTGTTTTTATTTTTTTGTTTATTTGCGAGTCGATTGATAGATGGCAGAAGTTTAGCAAGGCAACAGACGATTAGCAACTGTTGTGTATTAGCGAGGGATCTTAATTAAAAGAGTTAGCCATTTAGTTCAAAAATTCAAAATATTGCAATATTTTAAGAAGTATTTTAGGTACATACTTTCTTGTCCTGTATGTTGCTTCTGTTTAAAATTTTTAAAAATCGATTCCTTTTTAATACAAAAAGTTAATGAATAATGTGAGCTAAGATTTGTAAGGTGTGTTAAGTAAACTAGTACAACTAGTGATCGAAATTCGACCTGTTCTGTCTTGCCATCTAAGCAAACATTACTTCCGAATTGCTGTTAACTATAGGCTTTTCCCAATTAATAATAAGATTTCGATTTTCGAAAGTGTTTTGTTTTTCTTGTAGGATACGACAAACGGAAATCAACAGGGTATATCGGAGGGTCAAAATTACCGATGTTACATATGCAGCGGTTTATTCGCCCGTTCCCAAATGGAATGGTTGAGCACGAGCGCGGAAGGGATGAATTCGCACGCGATGCACTTTCCTTGTTTAAGGGCCGTGTCGCGAACGTCAGAGAACAGTTGCATGGATTCGCATGGACGAGTGCTAAGTTGCAACAGTTGTGTTGGGCATTTGGCTAAGCAGTGGGAGTCGCTTGAGGCCGAACGGGTGCCGCTCGAAAGGCGAAAGTATGCCGTTTTACCGTCAGTTATATTGTTAGTAGTAGCTGTAGAAATATATATTTTTTTATTATTCCCTTAAAAGGGACTTTAAGTGAATACACGTAAAAAATTACTAAGAGAGGCGACAAGTGTTGTTCATAATAATTGATTAGAACGCAAATTGAAACCGACTTTTCAAGTACTTTGATAAACTTTTTGAGCACCTTGATTTATTAATTTTTATTATCTACTTTTTTAACTCATTGTAAATGCACTTAGCGCTTTCCTTATCACGGTTATTAAAAAATGCCATTCGATAAATTAGTAACCGATTAATATTTTTGTTTAGTATTATTTTTTTTATTTTAGAAATCTTGTAACATTTTAAAGGAGGCCAAATTAACATTAGTTTTAATTGGTGGAAGTTAAGTTTTACGAATATAGTAATTTTAGATTAGTAAACACATCGTCTTGCTTGGTGATTTTTTAAGTCAATTTTTTTTTTAAATGAAAAAGTTTTTGTCACCAGTAATTTTAAGTTTATTATTTTGTAGTAGCAGTGTGTAGATTATCAAATTTTCTAAAATTCCTCTTTTAATGTCTTTAAACACTCTAAATTTGACAACGTTTATTTATGGTTTTGATTTTATTATATTAACTCTTTATTACGCTTTATTATACTGTTTTGTTTAACATTTTTATACTAATTATTGAAATAGTAGTCTTAGCAAAATTTTTACCAATTAAAGGTATGATGTACCAAGCCAGGAGATCCCAGTAAGGAATGGAAGCAGTGATAAGAGTTCATCATCTTACTCAGATAGAGGATATTCGTCTTATTCAACAGGCAGCAGTGTTTACTGTTTTCTATGCGGTTTGCATTCTGAACTTACACTGGCACGTGTCATATATAGCAAACCACAAGGTAATATTATTAGTTTACATATTAAATAAGGAGAATTATCTTTTTATAGAGTAGTCACTCAGTAGTGTGAACCGAACAAAATAGTTGACACTATGGATTTATTTACGTCACTCTTGTTCATTGGGTTATTACATTTACATCATCATAATAATGAACTATGTACTTATATGAAGTAAATACACGAATAAAAAAATGCCTATACCTAATGTGACTGGGGAAGTACCAAATCTGTTGGGGATATACGAAGGGATACAGTGGCGCAACTAACGGCGTAATATGAATGAAGGACAATGGACATCTGTTTTTATAAGCGAAGATTTAGTTTGTATTTAGTATACTGTTCACATTAGGCAAGGTTCTCGTTCTGCTTTGTTCACACTATGGAGTGTCTGCTGTAATTAATTTATTAATTAAGGAATAAGTACTCGAATTGAATTATTTCTTTGTTAATTGGAACTGGTTTTTAAAATTAGCCATTATTCAAAAATTAAATCGTTTAAAAGACGTTCAATTAATAAATGTGTCATTATAACCTTTTATTCTATATTGTAGGAAGGAATGCTCCATACTTTCCCTATTTACTTAAGCACGTTAGTCCACCAAATGCGGAGCAGTTGCGTGAAGATGGTTCTGCGTTGGTTTGTACTTTTTGTTACCATAATCTGGTCAGCCAGTGGCGACGTTACGAAGCCAAAGGCTCTGGCACTGTGCCTGCTGATAAGAGAGAATATAATACGCACAACTATTCGTGCTATGTTTGCGGAATCATTACATATAGGAAGCGAGTGAGGGCGTTACTTATTAAGGTAAATGATAATTAAATTACTATTAAGGGGAGAGGTGGACCAAACACAATCTGTACCTGAACATATACATTAAATAAGAAGACAGGCTTAATTTGGAAACAGGACTCAATAATGCATTTTAATTACTTTAGGGTTAAGGTCAGCGTCTTTTTCCGTAAATATGGACTTCATCAAGGAATTTATGGACCACGCATGGCTTAAATTTTACACTAAAATATGTTAATTGAGTTTAGTTTTTCATTTATTCTATAGTATATGATTAATAGTTTAGTTTAAATTCTTTCGCGCTATATTACATAGTGTTGCCAATACTATTCTGAACTCTCTCTGTCATTTAGAATTCCACAAAAAGTTTTTGAAAGAATTTTTTTTGTTTCAGGATTTTCCCTTTCTACGGTTTCATTCTCAACCTGAGAATTCTCTATTGTTGGAAAATGGCGATTACGCGGTGGTTTGTTTGGATTGCTACGAAACATTGCGAACGCAAAGCCTGGAGTACGAGAGATGGGGTTTGCCGATAGACAAGCGTCAATATAACTGGATTTCGCAACCACCTCCTCCGGAAGATAGCCCGGAGGCAGTACTTGCGCGATTACCGAGTGGTCAGAAAAGCGATAAAGTGGTAAGTTTTATCTTATTAAATATAAATTTTATATAACTCTTTAATGAGGAGTAATTTAACATGATTTGGGGAAAAAATCTATTACAAACAATTATTTAAAAGAGTATAATATGAAGTTATTTTGTCTCAATTTATTTTGGTTTTACTTGATATCTTTATTTTATTCGATTTCATTTCTTTAATTGCGATACTGAGACAAAAACAAAAAAAAAATAAGTAAAAAAATATATTTATATAAGTATTAAACGTATTACTTACGTTATGATGATTTGGTACTTCTTATAGACCGTTCTGTGTCATCTTCACTACTCTTAATGCAGGATTCAAATTAAATTGTTTTTCATAAGGTATTTGCATTTTGAATTTTTAAAGATATGCTGTTAAATAACAAGTTATCAAGTAATTGGTATTCCCGGCTACTTTTATCAATTGTATTTGGTAATGAATGTAGAAATACCACGATAAAATTTTAATCTTGTTAACGGTGAACAAGGGTTAAGCGAATATTAACGGAAAAAAATTGTATACGCTGTGCGCTCATAAATTATTAAGTTAGCGTTATTAGTACTGTCGACTTCGCTACATTAGACGTCAAAGTTTGTTTTATTGGAATAAATTGATTTAAACAATTTGTGATAATTCCTTCTAAGCGCCATTGATAAAGTGAATAATTGTAGTGTTAATGCAAAGTTTCGTAATAAAAAAATTCAGTGTAGATTCTATTACTGCGAGGAATTGGTTTAGTAGTATTGAATTGGTCCATCCCAACAACAAAATAATGTATTGCAAAATTGGCTAACATTTTATATTTAAAAAATAATAAATGAACAAAGTAAAAATAATTCTAAAAATGTCTTTTCGTTTCAGGTTCCCCAAACGTTTTTAACGCGCCCCACCAGAAAAAATTGTTCACCTAAAACTGATAGAAAAATTGTTAAATCGGAGTCTGGTAAGTTTGCTGTTATTTTTTTAAGATTGTATTTTAAGGAAACGGTTTCATTGATTTAGAAGTGGAAAAATTAGGTAAAGAAATAAGTTGCTATTTCTGAAATTAATTTTATTGTACACTCACATATAGTATCTACTTAAAAAATGATAGCCCAATTAATGATGAATGAACTGATTTAAAAAGAGAAATATTTAAATCAATAAAACTAACAATGAGTATATAAAACGTAAAACTATTCAATTAACTGATAGTTTTAAATTCACACTCAATAGTGTGAACAAAAAAAAACCGCTGTTTATATTATCAATTTATTCATTTATTCACGTTAATTAGCTAAAACAGTAATGAAATGTTATTTTTGTCAAAGAAATCGGGTTTCTGTTTGTTTGTGCAGTTTTTTTGCCTTTTGCATTAATAAAACACCACAACTAATACGACTGGGGAAGTACCAAATATACTTGGAGAAATGGTAAAACAGCAACTGGGATGTATCGATTTTCAAGGCTGACCTAGCATAATAAATTAGAATTCACATTATGCGGGGTTCCGTTATGCGGTGTTCATACTATCAAGTGTTTACTCTAAATTTATTCAAATTAATGAAAATTGACTTCTTTCTATCTTCTTTTTGTAATACTTTAAGTAAATCAGTAGGTATTTCTTTTAAATACGTTTTTATATAAAAGTAAAGTCTCATTGATTATCTTGTATTCGAAATATTAAAATTTACAAAATTAATTGGTGGTTGTATAAAAGAATGCTTTTAGTGTAAATAAATTTGTAAGGGCAAAAGTTACAATTACAAATTGTGGACGAAATAATGAATGTTGCATGTCGATTGACACCGTTATAACCCTACTCGTCCACCCTGTATGTCCAGTTAAAGTTGTTTGTAATTGTAAGAAGTTAATCGAGTGTATAAATTGGGAGGGTTGGTGAAGCGCGGTATATATACAATTCCCAACGAAAATGACGTGCAAATCATAACAGCTATAGTTGGCTTTGGTTGGTTGGGGCGGGGAGCTAAAACGGGATCAAATTAGGAATTCATTTTTTTTCTTTTCTCGCGCTCCCTTGGTTCCCTTTAATATCTCTTTCTCCTTTCGGGTAAGTGCTACAGCAACAACACGACAGCCACTGTCCTCGTGAGATATTCGGCGCTCGTCTGTGCGCAAAACAGCAGACGACGGCATTGTGTCGTCCGTCTGTTTGTCGTAGACGTCGAATGAGTGCTAGACGCGGTCGCGAAGGGATCCGTCGTTGCTATTCTGTCTCTGTTCACCTCTCAACTTGGCCTCTAGCGACGGGGTGGAAATCAAGCATCGTAAACGAAAGGGTCGCGCCGCGGTCGCTTGTCAATAACTCTTGCCTTTTTGCGGTCGCAAGTCGGGTTTTGTATGAATACGTACGGGGAGGGTGACATGCAGCCCTTTTCGTTTTGAAAAGGGTGCGTTTTAATTTCGGAGCAATTTCGATTATTGTATAAATCATGCTGGAAGTGTTTTGACTTGTGTTCGTAGCGATGTGAACGGGTATTTGTTCTCGTGATTTTATAAAGATCGAAGGGAAAAATGCTTACGATGAAAGTGATACGGGGTCACGATATGCTCTAGATGATGAACGGACAGTAGAACGAGAGGGCGGGAATTGATGCTCTCGTGTCGCGACAAGCGATGGATTATAGCTGCTCGTTTTTTTCGTCTCAAAGTCAACACGGTCATTTTTACAATGGTATATACCTATTTTTTAAACGTATTTTAACAATTCATTTTTTTTTACTTACGATTAGTTTATAAATCAACAAATACTAACTGTTGCAATATCATTAACGCAGCTTATTCATAGTTATTTATATCGTTTCATTTAATCATTTTGGTTTTCACATACTATCGGTTATTAACAATTACAGCCAAATCGAAGGTGTAGACGTGTAATATCACCTACATACCTAGGGCTCTTTAGTATAAACAGAACGAAAATTGCATCGGCAATTAACGCATCTCCTTTATTCAGAAATTTTTATTATACTATTTAATTGCTTATATATTAGCTTTGCTTTAATGCTGGTACTTAAAAATTTTTCGTTTACTCATTTAAATTCAATTAAGTTTTTAACTTGTTAATAAGCCTTTGGCGGGTATTGATATTACCTATCTATTAAAATCTGAAAATCACAATTTATTGCTTGTTAATCATTATTTGCTTTTTATTTATTTAGTGTCGGTCTAGACAATTACTAATTACGCTTTTGAAAATGATTATTTCTTATTAATTTCTAAGAATTCCATTAGTTGTTCTTGAAAATTAATTAATGCAAAACAAAATAGTTTAAGAATTTAAAAATTCCATCAATTAAAATCTTTATTGATTGACTTTTCCATCAGTAAAAAAAAAACAGAATTACATAACATTTAATGGAATGAATAAATTAAATGAAAAAATTCGGTTAATATGAATCAGCAGGTGTAAGTAACATTATGGTAGGTTTATGGGTTTAACTGAAAATAATCTTATCCCAACAAAGTTGTTTATTAAATAAACGTACCTTTGGAATCTTTATTTTCATTTTTTTTGCTAAGTAGTTTGATTGGTTTAAAGTTTATTTTACGGATGGCTGAATAAGTTAAATCGGTTTTATAAAAGGGCTTCTAAATCTTTTTATGTTCGCGTGTTATTATAATTTTTTGAAAGGTATACGTAATATATTATATATACTAACAAAATTTGTATGTTCCACAATAATAAATTTTTGGCCTAATGATAGTTTATTACTTCCTTGGATATTTTTACAAGCCCGTTACTTATGAAATTGTTACATTGTTTCACGCAAATTGCTCTTACAGAACTTCGTATTAAATTTTATATGCATATAAAGCTACAATTTGCTTTTATATGTGACATTCCCTTTTTTTTATAACACGGATTAACAGTTCCGTTTCGCATTATTTTCTCAACTACAAGTGATAGTATAAATAAATTAAAGGCAAAATTTAATTGGAAGTTTTTATCTACAAGATTAAGGTGCACATTGTTGATTGTAGTTGAGTCCTTCCGTCTTTCATTACCATTTAAATTACGATTATCTGAGCGATGACATTCAAATATTCAACCTAAACGGGAAAAATTTCCTCTTTTTTAGCTTTAACACAAAGTCCAAAGGGTGTCGGTGGCACAATAGGGGTGGCATCTGATGGATCGTTAAAACAACAACGTTCTAGTACCGTTCCTCTTGTGACCCAGCCCCAGTCTAGTAGCAGTGCTTCACATAACAACTCTTCTTCGCACTCCTTTGCGGCTGCACTCAGGAACCTCGCTCAACAATCTGTGCCTTTTTCTTCCGCCGAACACGCTAGCACCGTGTCTCCTTCTGTCAGCGATACTGTTGTCCATAAAGACATAGGTCGGTATCTTCGTGTAGGCGAACCAAAACACTTCCGATTCTTCTAAATTTCTTTCTACTCATTTGTAATATTTATTTTCCGTTTAATTGGACATCATCTAATGATAAATAAAATTAAAGTTTATTATTTTTAGGAACAAGTAATGTAACTCAGAACATTCGTGCTTCTGATATTTCAAGGCCACCGCCAACTTCAACCCTTCCTGGTGTTGCGGAACAACGTTATCCAACTATTCCACCAACCACCTGTTCTATAACTTCTGATCTCTCTAGAAGTGGATTTCAGCCGTACAGACCTGAAGATAGGTAAATAAATGAACGTAATAGAATAAGGACGTATAAAATAAAAATGGTAATTTGTAATCAAATAAAGATGTCTGTGAGATTTGGACTTATTACAGGTTGCCGCAGTTACCGATAGGCTTAGACGTATCAGCAGCTGCTGCGGCAGCCGCCACTTATCCGCCCTACGGATATCCAACAACATTATCTCTTTTGGACGAGCAGTTGTACTTTGAACGAATGGGATTGTTACGACCACCACATTGGTCCACTCCCATGGGATCACCTTATATACCGTACATGTTACCAGGACCGTCTGTTCCTCTTTATATACACGAAAGGTGACTATCCTATTTGATTTTCAACATTTATACTATTGCAAAGAGGCAGGTGACGTAGTTTTATCATCTATTTTTGTTTGATTATAGATATAAATTAGAAGAAGAGCATAGATTGAGAATGGTTCAGAAAGAGCAGCAGATTGAAAGAGAACTTCAAGAGCAGCGGGAACTCCATCACCAGCAGCAATTGCAGCAGCAAAGGGAACGAGAACGAGAGCAAAGGGAAAAGGAGCGGTTGCAACGCGAAAAGGAAAAAGCCCTAGCTGCTCAACAGCATTCTCGCGTGTCTCCCCATGTTCCGCCCGTTATGTCCCATGTATCACTGCATTCGCCGTTGATGATGTCAATGATGCACCCAGGCTCGATGTTACCACCCTCCAAAGATATTTATCCTCCTTCTTTGGTCACGAGCAGTGCTCAACGTCAGTCTGCATCGTTACTTCCGCCGAGTCCTCTTCAGAATCATCACTCTTCGTCTCCGGTGCCGCGATCGAGTCCCTCACTTCAACGTCATTCTCCTCACATGCTCTTCCATCCTCCACCGCCTTCGACATCGTCTTCTCCTTACGGTTTAAATTTATCTCAGACGGTTATGCAACCGTCTGGTCCTGTGATTAATAATGTCAGTCAGTCTTTGCCGAAACCACCAACACCAAAAACGTCATACAGTTTATCCGGTTCAAGCCATACCTCGGCGTCAATTTCGAATCATCATTCGGCCAGGATTTCGTCTTACGAGTCCGCGAATTCTTCAGTAGTTCATAACAGCACTGCTACTACTACTTCTACTAGAGCTAGCCCTATCGTGCATGAAAAGCCCCCCTCTTCTTCAGCGCATGTTTCGTCTGCACCTGCAGTATCCATGACCGATACCGCGATCGTGATAACATCTAGCGAAAATGTTCAAAAGGTGGTTGTACCACCACCATCTACCTATGTGAGCAACGTGACCGTTATCAAGGAGGATCCAGCCGATTTGCCAGTCACTGCCCCTGCAGCAGGTGAGGGCAATCGTGAAAATGGAGAAACTGTTGCCTGACTTATTCCTGTGCCCGCCATTGCTTGTCATTTGTCTCTCTGTACTCCACCTAAAGATTTATCGTTTCGGTAATTTGTGGTTGTTTTCGTTGGCCCTTTTGCTTATTGATTTTGCTATTGATTTTTTGTATTAACGCTTTTGGCTGTTATCCAATAAGGGTTTGCTTTTTGCTTTAACAAAGAGGTCAACTTTTAATTATTTTTTTATTAATTGTTTTTTGTTGACCTTTTTATAAAAGATATATAATTGTCTGCAGTTAATCCATTAATATTTGCTGTCAGAATAAGTTTTTAATATTCATTTTAGTTTTTGTTGCATTTATTAGGTAGTATTTGATGTTGTCTAGAGCTATATTCAATTTACTTAATTGTTGATTATATTGTTTTGTATTTTTGTTATGAAAAAGGATTTTGAATTGAAGAAAGTAGGGAAAATATGAAATCTAACTTTTTTGCTTTTTTAAGTTGTGCTTTTTGTTTTATACGTACATATAATATCAGTTCAATTTTATGAACTTAACTAAGAAATTAAAGTTTGAAAAAAGGCTTAATGAACAAATTTATAACTGAACTCTGTATATTTGTTATTTAATGAATTATTAGAAACTTTGTATTCCATAAAGGTACTATTTAATTGTAACGTTCCTGTTCTTTGATCTTTTTTGTTCTAAGTGCATATTCTATTTTGAGTCATACATTATAATGATTGTTTTCTGAGAAACAATTTAGTTGCATGAAAGTGAAATTGTATAAAAATTACCGTTAATGTTTTTGCTTGTGATTTTTTGGTTGTAAAATTAATCGATTAGACATTGACATGATGTGGTTGTCTTTGTTTCAGCCAGGAAGCCACCCATAATGAATATGCAGTTGTGTCCACCGTTAGTACCATCATCATCACAGCCGTCACCACTACCAACACTCATTTATTCAAGCTTTCCCGTTACCTCTTGCGTCACAAATGTCACGTCATCTATTACTTACAATCCCCTTCAACAAAAGTGTAATCTTCAATTGAATAGTGTAAAGAATATATCTGTTGATGAAATCCAAACTACTCGATCTGCTCAGTTATTGGACAGTAAAAAGGACGAAAACAATATTGACTACAAGGAAAGAGGAAAAGATGTTGCTACGTTTCAAGAGACTGAGAAGAAGATAAATCCAAATGTTACGAGAAAGTTTGATGAATGTGTAAATGTAAAGGATCAAAAAGATGAATTAGAAGAGCAGAAATTTTGTAAAATAGGTATGCAAGTTGGAAATAGGGATTGTATAAAGTCGCAAGAAAATGTATTGGAAGCATCGGAAAAATGCCAAAACGATGTTCAGGCTAAAGCAGGAAAAGTTCCAAAACATTACAAGCCGGAAATTCCGGATTGTCCGAAAAACGCCTGGAGGGTTTCTGATAGTCATATTGAAACGGGGGATTCAAAGGCATTACAAAAAAGTGCCTGGGAAGTCTCAAAAAATTACAAAACTGACATTGACGTTAGAGATTGTAAAATTTCCCAGAACAATGTGTGGGAAATTCCGAAGACCTGCTATTTTAACGCTTACAGTGTAGCTGATGTAAAACATGCTAGCACCCCAGTGAGCACTGTAGTTACCGTGGACCAAACACACAGCCCTCAGTTACCAGTACCATCGCCGAATTATCCTATCCAGTCTCACTCTTCCTCTTACACTAACGATTTTACCACTTCTACAATCACATTCAACGACAACATAAATACAAGAAACGTCTTTATAATTGAAGACGCTCATGTGAAAATTTCGCCCCTTGAAAAGGATATGAGCAAATTTGACGACACATTGTTTTCCAATTCCGAGAGAAATCAAAATGAGACTGTCTCACTCGAAAAAAATAATATCTGTAAGCAAGAGATGATGTCCCATAATAATCAAAGTTTGGAGGCTCACAAAAATGTAAAAATTTTAATTGAGAAAATGAATGAAAATTGCCCTTTAACGAATAAAGTGTTAAGCTCTGAAGTTCAATTTATCAAAAACGTACCATTGTCTGCAGATAAGCCTTCAACTGCAATCAAGACAGTATTAAATATACCCACACCGCACTGCCAACCTCCAGTTAAACGACAAAAGATAAGTAAGTTAGATTTAGCCATACAAAGAAGAAAAATTCGCAGGAAACGCTCTACCAAATTGAAGCTAGTAAAAGAAAATTGTTTGATTGATTCCGAGAGGAGTAACTCTTATTCAGACGAGAGCAGTGACAGTTCGGAGTTTCCGGATTTATGGATTAAATCTGGACCTCCTATGAAGAATAGTATCACATCCGAGAAATTAGAATTCTTACAATTATTCGGGCTTACTACTCACAGTAAGAAAAACTGTAAGTACATATTACATCATCAGTTTTCATGATGTGGCGAATAAGTTCCTAAAAATATTGTTTTGTTACCTTTCTCTAATTTAAACTTAAAAAATAAATGATTACTCAATTAATTAAGTTGATATTTTTTATAATGGTTAGCAATGGAGTTAGAGAAAATTGAAAGACGAAGATGGCTTCCAAATTGGTACTATCCTGTCGACGAAAAGGAGAAAAACAACTCCGTCACGTTAGATTTGCCTGTGCCTTCAACTTCGCCATCACTTCTTGTTTCTGCTCCTGATTTTCCAATGAAAACGGATTTTCTACAGCAGCTCCATCTGAAAACAGTTTCCTTACCAGTAAGATACGGTACGAAAATCTTATTTGAATGCATTTTATATCGACGTATAAAAAATACATTATATTACAGAGTATGAAAATACATGGATGAAAGTTATTGAAGAAAGATTGAAGCGTGACGAAAATGGATCTGCGGTCACCCAATACAGTATTAAATACCATAGTAACTTGCCCTTGTCTCGTAGAAACGAATACCAAAATCAGATGAGACAAAATGGAAATTTATTTAACATAAAAACGAGTCTGAAGAAAGAAATTCTGAACAGGAAAGACGTTTCTTCTGAATGTGGAACTTCAAAAACTATTACAACTCAACCAAGCTGTAATACGTATAATTGTTTACCTTTTACGATGGTGCTGGTTGATAATTTAAAGTCCAAACAAATAGATTCAGAGAAGGACGACGAGGAAGGCAGAGGCAAGTTTAGGTGGCCAGGAATTCAAGAAGTGATTGAGGCTTATCACAAGTACAATGCAGGTATTGAAAACGTTATTTAAATTTCAAATTTATGGATGTTAACAAATGTTTGATTTGTATTGTAAAATTTTCGTTTTGATTTAGAGAGAGATGCGGAGTGTACAGCTCTAAAGCAAAGGTGCGAACACTTAAAGAAGGAAATGGCATTAAAACAGCAGGAGGCAAAAATACTGGAGAAACGACAACGAGAACTATATTCTGAATCATTTCTACTTGAACAGGAAAAAATGAAATTACATAAGACTATAGAACATTTAGATAACATTATAAATGCATTTAGGTAGCCTTGGGTAATAGCAAATTTTTGAAATTGACGAAGTTGATGTAAATTGGCGTGTGACAATAAGCAGATAAATGTGAAAGGTCTTGGGGCTGTTGTGCAAGGGTTCAGTGTTTTATATTTTAGCCGTACTTTTATCCGCAGGCGAATTAAATTGAAATTTATTAAGAAAGGATTAGGTATAACGCATTGTTCTTATTTCATGAAATTGCCTCTTTTTTTCCACATTACTTTTATGTTAAGATAAAATGAGGTAATCGGCCTATGGAAACGATTTTTTATTGTATTCTTTTTAAATTAATTCACTGTTACGGTACGTACTTCTTTGCTAAGTATTTTGTTAATTTTCGCTTTAGTTTAGTGACAAAGGTGTTTAATTCATAATAATTACGTCCTATTATAAATGTTGATAACATTCAAGATATTTGAATACTTTAAATAGAAATTATCTTCTATTTATTATTTTTTTTTTGTGCACAATATTTTTGCTTGATATTTTTCTATCGTTAGGTACTAATATGAAGAAAAAATAATAAAAAATCGTGCTGGCCAATTCCATTTGAAATGTGCACTATTTTCTTATTCAAAATATGTAACTTTTTTCTTACTGTGCACTAATTTTAACCGTTTGCGTTTAAAAAAATACTAATATGCTGTGATGAGATCATTAATGGTTTTTGTAATGATGGCTTAAGGTGTGTGGGAGAGAAAGGATTGGAACGAAAGGGTTAATAGATAACGCGAGAGAAAGCAGGAAGAAAATAAATAGGTAAATAAGTAATTTTTTAAATTGCGGGCTTGTAAATTTTTCAATCCGAATTAATTGTAAGTTGATGTAAAGTTTCTTATGTGGTAAAGTTTTGTTATTTACGGGTTTACATTATTTAGAGTGTATGATGTTCACCAATTCTGTGATAATAATATAGTTTTTAGTCTTAACTAAAGGCAATTTTTAGCATCAAATCCTAATAAATGTATAAAATTGTACCAACCAATTATTTTCTGTAATTTATTTTTACCATTTTCCTCCTACATAAATACATACATTGTTTTATATTATGGTGATTATCTAATTAATTAAAAAATAAAGAACGTAATAACTGCATTGTTCTTTTTTCTAAATTTCCCAGTTTCCTATGTTCCTTCTCAATACTCCTTGTTTAAAGTTTTACTTTTTGAACCCATATTGTATATGTTTAAAAGTATAATCGAACGTACCTGGTATATTAAAGATTTAATTTGCCTCGGAAGCGACATCTGTAGTTAACTAGCGAAAGTTAAAGTTTACAGATATCTGTCATTTTGTAGAGCAACTACAATTTTCAACTAATATATACAAAGGTTGATCAACAAATAATACGATAAGACCTTAAGTCACTTATGCTCTCCTAATACAAATGTTCAAAATTGTTAGTTTCTCGACACATACGATGTCTGATCAACAAATAATGAGACAAACAAAAATTTTGATTTCATGAAATTTTTAACTTTTGTATTAGGAGAGCATAAGTTGGATCGGATCTTTTTGGCAATATTACCGCCAACATTTTACAGACTACAATTTGATTATTTAAATCTTTATCGAATTATTATGTTTATTAATTAATAAGACAATAAAACAATTTCTGATCTTTTAATTTATTTATTGATATGGCACTTTATGATGTTACTTTTTACAATATTAAATCATATTTTATATTACAATACATAGTACAATACAATACAAAGTTAATTAGTATAAAAGCATCTTAGATAAATACATATCTACATGTACATGAGTATTTTTTAAATTGATTAACATAATTTTGGCATTTAGTTAACTGTTTATTTATATTACACTTCAAGTAATAAATCCCTTTAAGCTATGAGGCCCCCTTAAAGCCATCCTAACCAAATGAATATTACAAAAAACATAGTACATTTTCAGTTTTTTAACAATTTACCCAGAAATAGATTTAAAACTGTGGCTTAAACTGCATTTAAATACTAACGTAATTAATAATAAAATTGAAAACAAAAACAGTCTTCAATCTTTTCAAATAAAACCATATTATCCGTAAGCGAATGGAGTATTTGCAGGACTGAAGACAAACAATAATAGAAGAAGTCGATACAGCAAGGTAAGAAGGAGGCTATTCCTGATTTCTATCTATCCCAGATAATCCACCATGCCGAGTCAGGACGGAAGCGAGCCTAGAGTAATGATTAGAATGGTTCCAGTGTAGATCTGAAACAGATAAGTTCGTTACAGTTTAGTGTATATTACGGAGAGATATGATTTATTTGAAATACTTGCATTTAAAATGCAAATAAAAATTACCTATTTTTATTTTGCATTTAAATACTCTTTTGAGAAAAGTATTTTGTATTTTATTTAAGATACTTTTCCAAGCGTATTTTCTACTTGTAAAATGCATAATACATTTTTGCCGTTAAATGTTTTGCTAGTACCACTGATCAAACATTACATAAAATAATAAATTAAAGTTGCCTACATTAGCCGTTGNAAAAAAAAAAAAAATAAAGAAATACGCAAAAGAAAAGTTTTTACCTCTTCAAGTCAATGTATACAACTTCTCAAGAAATCACAGTTTGGCGAAACAATTGTTAAGTGCAATAAAAGAAGTTAGTTGAATACACTCATATTATCGTATTTCTATTAGTTAGTTAAGAATTTTAAAAAGAAAATGTAAATGAAGAGTTTTTCACTTATTATTTTTAACTGTTTAACATCCGAAGGAGTCGCAGTTTGCCGAAAGAACTGTTAAGTGCAATAAGAATTTAGTTGAAAACATTCATATTATTTCTATTAATTCGTTATCAATTTATAAAAAAACACAAACGAAAAGTTTTTAACTCTTTAAGTCAAATGTACTTATAACTTCTCAAAAAATTACAGTTTGGCGAAACAATTGTTAACTGTAATAAAAAAGAAGTTTGTTGAATACGCTCATATTATAGTATTTCTATTAGTTCGTTAAGAAATTTAAAAGAAAATGTAAAAGAAGAGTTTTTCACTTATTATGTTTAACTGTTCAACATCCGAAGGAGCCGCAGTTTGCCGAAAGAACTGTTCAGTGCAATAAGAATTTGGTTGAAAACATTCATATTATTTCTATTAGTTCGTTATGAATTTACAAAAAAATGCAAGCGAAAAGTTTTTAACTCTTCAAGTCAATGTATATAACTTCTCAAGAAACCACAACTTGGCGAAACAACTGTTAAGTGCAATAAGAATTTTCTTGCACACATTCATATTATTTCTGTTAGTTCCTTATGAATTTACATCAAAAACGCTAACGAGGTGTTATTAACTCTTCAAGTTTAATTGTATATCTTCCGAAGGAGTCACAGTTTAGCGAAACATTTATCAAGTGTAATTAGAAGTTTGTTGAGCACGCTTCTGTTATTTGTATTGGTTTATTAAGAATTTCAATGAAGTAGCAATAGATACAATTTTATACGGGAATTATTTTCGTGATACTTGTATTATATATTTTTATTGGGGCTACTAAATCACAACTGATAAAACAAGTACATTTTTTGTTCAATAATTATCTTTTTAATGTAAGTGACAAAGCCCTAACTTTATTGAAACAAATTACATAAGTTATAGAATGTACAAATCAGAATCTTTCGATTGAATAGTTTTATTATAATTTTGTTAATGTTGTCAGTGAGTTTTTGACTAACTTTCTTATTTCTTAAATTGCTTTTCTAAAATTTTAGAAGTTGATCTGTAAATTTAATTTGAATTTCTTCAAAAATAACCATTAATTAAAAATAAATGTTTCAAAGTCATTGTTATTAATTATTTGCGTTTCTTCTAAATCGAAGTAGCAACGGTTAAAAACTAATAATAAAAAACTGTTTCCCTAACCCATTTTTTTTCATTAAAATCTGTACCTATCACAGTTGAAATTATCATTTATTTTTGCTTTTTATTCCTATCACCGAATAAAGTTAAAAGTTTGTAACTAGAAGACAATATACTCTCAAAAATAATTATTTAAAAGTCCATATATTAACCGCTCCATTTGTCTCTCGAAACTTTTGATTAACAAATACTGGTATATTTGAAATAAATAATTATTATTAAGGATTATTTGATCTTAATCTGAACATGTTTAATGTCACTTACAGACATATCGTTGTTTCTGTAGTACCTATTCTTGATATGAGGATTACTGCCTTTAATGTCCAATTTTAAATGGTGGTCCAGAGTTTGTATGATGTTCCTGTTGGAATATTGGTGCCATTAGTTCAAATTAAGCAATTTTTATCTCGTTTGGATCACTTATTAAAATGCTAATATGTATTTAATAATGAAATTGGTTACAATAATAAATGACTTTAACACTGACGAAACGCAAATTGGATCTGTACTTATTGATAAAGATGATTTTTTTACAGTTGTACAAAAAAAGCATCTCTTTGTAGTATAGAAATATACCTAATTGACTTTTATAAACGTGCGTGGTTTTTAGCATGCTATTTAACACTAATAACTCATAAAAATATTTTTTTATAAAAAGTTACACTTTTCTTCAATATCATTACAGATAGGAAACAAAGAATTTTGGGAAAAATATGTTATTTAGACAAAGAAATTTTTTTAAAATATTATTACCAAATGTATCTTTTTAATTGTTTATTTTATGTAGTACGTACAATATAACAATAATAATCATCTAATACCAAAATATTATCAAACTAATTATTAATTATCACGTTTAAATACTCACTGCGGATTAACATGGTGGATGTTCGTCTACATGAGATATCAATTTCGAAAAATTTATGGTCAAATAAATACACATTTTGGGGAACTTTATTAATAAATAGTTCATTTCTTTTATTTTTTACCCTGCTTAGGCTGTGAAGGCTGTATTGTTTAGACCCAGAAAGAAACTTTTTTATAAAAGGCATTAATTTTTAAATTTTGCCTCCCTGCAAATTTTGAAGTTCTAGATTTGGGGCCTCGCATCTCTAAATCTAAAACCACAGCTGATATGGATATAAAACAAGCAAACAAATGTATAAAATATTTAGTAGGTATAAATCGAAACAAAAATAAGTAGTTTTGTGAACCATGGGAAGTGAAATTTTAATTTGTAACGGTTCCAGAAGTTCCAGTTAGGTAATTTTATTTTCTCTTGAAAATTTCTAATAAAGTTCCTGATGTTAAAATTATGTAATAAACAATTAAAAATCATTCTTTACTCTCACTCTTTTATACCCTTATGCATCTAATAAAAAATAAACATATTGCACGCATTGTTTATCGACGTAGCATTGACTTGCCGACTTTAATGTTTAATCTAATTAAACAATTATGTATGTAAACGAGTTGGACATAAGCATTTCCTTATCTTGTAATTTTGATTTTGCCGGTTTAATTTATTAGTAGAACATCCCTTCTATCAATGTTTATAAAATCGTTCGAAATGGGTATCAGCTGAGCGCGATAATAAAAATATACTAATACCAAGGGCAACAACTCGGCCTATATAAATTCTTTTTTATTTGACCAGTGAAAGTTGTGTGTGTGTGTGTCAAAGGTGGTTTTTGTAAAAATTCACAACGCGACCCGCCCGCCAAAAGGGTTGATATACCATTGTAGTACTACTGTAAAAATGGATTACAGAAGCAAGTGGTTCGTTTTGACTGTACTGTACCTTTTTCTGCACTTTACTTTACCGGCAGTTATACAACCTTTAAATGGCACTTGGCGCGTTAAAGATGTTGGCAACAGTAAGTCACAATTTATATTAAAAANTAAAAAAAAAAAAAAAAATAAAGAAATACGCAAAAGAAAAGTTTTTACCTCTTCAAGTCAATGTATACAACTTCTCAAGAAATCACAGTTTGGCGAAACAATTGTTAAGTGCAATAAAAGAAGTTAGTTGAATACACTCATATTATCGTATTTCTATTAGTTAGTTAAGAATTTTAAAAAGAAAATGTAAATGAAGAGTTTTTCACTTATTATTTTTAACTGTTTAACATCCGAAGGAGTCGCAGTTTGCCGAAAGAACTGTTAAGTGCAATAAGAATTTAGTTGAAAACATTCATATTATTTCTATTAATTCGTTATCAATTTATAAAAAAACACAAACGAAAAGTTTTTAACTCTTTAAGTCAAATGTACTTATAACTTCTCAAAAAATTACAGTTTGGCGAAACAATTGTTAACTGTAATAAAAAAGAAGTTTGTTGAATACGCTCATATTATAGTATTTCTATTAGTTCGTTAAGAAATTTAAAAGAAAATGTAAAAGAAGAGTTTTTCACTTATTATGTTTAACTGTTCAACATCCGAAGGAGCCGCAGTTTGCCGAAAGAACTGTTCAGTGCAATAAGAATTTGGTTGAAAACATTCATATTATTTCTATTAGTTCGTTATGAATTTACAAAAAAATGCAAGCGAAAAGTTTTTAACTCTTCAAGTCAATGTATATAACTTCTCAAGAAACCACAACTTGGCGAAACAACTGTTAAGTGCAATAAGAATTTTCTTGCACACATTCATATTATTTCTGTTAGTTCCTTATGAATTTACATCAAAAACGCTAACGAGGTGTTATTAACTCTTCAAGTTTAATTGTATATCTTCCGAAGGAGTCACAGTTTAGCGAAACATTTATCAAGTGTAATTAGAAGTTTGTTGAGCACGCTTCTGTTATTTGTATTGGTTTATTAAGAATTTCAATGAAGTAGCAATAGATACAATTTTATACGGGAATTATTTTCGTGATACTTGTATTATATATTTTTATTGGGGCTACTAAATCACAACTGATAAAACAAGTACATTTTTTGTTCAATAATTATCTTTTTAATGTAAGTGACAAAGCCCTAACTTTATTGAAACAAATTACATAAGTTATAGAATGTACAAATCAGAATCTTTCGATTGAATAGTTTTATTATAATTTTGTTAATGTTGTCAGTGAGTTTTTGACTAACTTTCTTATTTCTTAAATTGCTTTTCTAAAATTTTAGAAGTTGATCTGTAAATTTAATTTGAATTTCTTCAAAAATAACTAAAATACATTTCTGAAACAGGCATTGATAAATAGCGATGTTACTGTTTTGTATTGACATAAAATTGTGTGAGAAACACAGAGATAGCAACAGTATATTTAAAAATTTATAAATATTGTATTTTTGTGTAGATATTATGATTTGCTTGCAACTATTTAGGTTTTAGTATTTTAAATTCTCTGAATTACAGCCAAATAACTATGAGCTTTGCCAAAAAATGTCAAACACAAATACAAAAACTAATTAATTTTTTATCTCTTAACATATTTTATGCACATATTTGATTTCGCAGACATACAAATAAATTAATGTTTGTTGTACCTTAAAGCAATTTTCAATTATCTATATTGTATAGATATGAAATAATAATATGACTAAATACGATAATACGTATATTTTTATAATAAGACCTTGCATTAATGTTAGGAAAACGAAATAAAAAGTAAGTATGTCTGCTTTTTTTAGGTAAATGATACACTTGATGATTAAGTATTAACACACACACCTACTTGACCTAGTTAATCTTTGTGATTTATTGATAATCACTATTGAACATAATCACAGATAAATGAAGTGCTCGATAGCAAAAATCAATAAAGTAGCTAAACTAATAAAGGAAAATTAATTTCTATTTATACTTACCGGCATTTTTTGTGTACACTCAATACTAGGGAATATGGAAGCTGAAATAAATATTAATCATTTAAGGATGTTTGGGAGGTACAATCGGAGACAAGAGTACATAAAATTAGAAATTCGTGATTAATTAGGTTTTGCAGCATATCATGAGGCAAATAAATACTATCTATACTAAAAAAAAGTATACGGTTTGAGAGAAAATTTGGAATTTGACCAAAAACTTTGAATAAAATAAGAAATAACGAATAATATGGAAAATTTTTAACTGACTTTTGGCAGTGAATATGCCTTGATTTCAACTTCGAAACAAAAAAATATTTAGTTTCAATCTCTATTAATAATGAGCGTAAAACTTTTTAATATGTTTAAATAATAATTAAAACTTTAAAATTGCATTTATTTCAGACAATTATAAATATTATCATTATATTATCAAGTAAAAACGAGATTTTCAGCTAATTTTTCATTTTTTCCTCGATAACCATTTAGTGAATTTGAATAACCTTACGCTAAAGTGATTCTCCAGAGTTCAAGTTACTTATTATAAAAGTTTGAAATTTCTGGTAGCTTTTTTTCTGTTAATAAAAATAAATTTAATCTGTTCGGTTAACGAATCTCCATAAAATGACGTGTAAAATTACAATTTTTTAAAATTTCAATAACTTTTTAACGGTTTAGTGAATCGATTTGTAATATTTACAGTTTTAGAATTGAATGAGGAACGTTCTTCCAAATTTTTATTTGTCTCGTAGCATTTTGACATACCTCCCAAACATCCTTAAAAGGGAGAATTACATTTCCTGCTCCATTTATAAAATGTATTAAAGGAAAAATTTTTCTGCATCTACGTACAATAGAAGAATTTCAATAGAACTTCGTAATTTTTAAAGAATTAATTTAATTAAAAAGTATCCCTTACGGGAACAGAATGAATTTCGAGGTGTAACAAAAAGGATTAAGTGTAAATGTATTCACACTACAAAACAGCAATTCGGTAGCATCACTTTTAGTAATTTTCAATTTTTTTAAATAAATTAATCCTTATCCTGAAATTTTATTAAACTAATGGAGTCGCGGGGAGAGATGAAAATCGAATATTAAAAATGAAACTAACGTAACCAAATCCAGCCCAATCCTAGCTTAGCTTAATCTAACGAAATAAAAAAAAATTGGAAGTGCTTTTGACTTGGAGCCCCAACTCTACCTTCCCAAAAAAACCTAAAATCACTCTTATACTTTTATCATATTACATTAGGTTAGGCTTGCTTTTTTTTTTCAAGTTTTCCATTTTCATTTTCTGTCCCATGTGTTATCATCCCTCTGCCTAGACCTAAAACTACTTTTTTAATATCTCTGCACCTTCAAGTACCTACAATAGTGACAAATATATTAAAAAAAATTGAAGGCCCAACTCTAAAAAATTGTATTGTGTAATCAAAACTTTTTTTGCTAGTTTATAGCCTCCCAGCTACAGTACCCGGTAGTATTTATGCAGACTTAATGAACAGTGACATAATAGGCGATATATACTACGGAAATAATGACATAGATACCCGATGGGTTTCAAAAATGGATTGGATATACAGCCGCGTTTTCGATGGTAAAAAAAGGACTTCCGTGACGCTGTTCAATCAGTCAATTAATTAAGCTCAATTTCAGTTGATCCAGAAATCCTTTATCAGCAAAACATTAACCTAGTAATGGAAGGTATAGACACGTTTGCAACAGTTATATTAAACGGGGTTGAGGTGGCCTATACAAAAAACATGTTCTTAAGGTACATTTTTGACGTCAAGAACTATTTGAAGGTAAGACTCAAGTGCAATATCGAGTAAGCAACAAGAAAAATCACCTTAAATATCAAGTGTTCGCCAATTAACAATTCTTCCCCAAGTGTAATTGCGAAATTGAAAATAAAACTATTGTTTATTGCATTTACTGTGTCAATAAAACGAATACATTTGACCCCGAAGCAAGTGGATCTTATTACATGAAACAAAATTAATTAATTACTTAATCTTACAGTAGGTTAAAAAAAAAACAAATATAAACCATGACAATTGCAAAACGCTTCACTCAAAATTTTTACGGTAAAATACATATATTCCTAATAGGGGGTGCATTTTAGCTTGAGCCGTGTGTAACCATCAGTTGTTCCGCATTTTTTTTGTAATGAATGTAGAATGTCAAGACCTGTAATGTGATGGATGGTTGGTGTTTGTAGTTCTGATCTAATTAAACATAATTCCCTAATTGCTATTAATATTAAGTAAACAAATATATGTATAGATTATTATGCATACATATATATATATTTATATTATATTTCCTATTTCTAAAACACACTATAATTTGTAGCTGATTTTCTTTCTAATATGTTAACAAGTCGAAAACCATCGTGTATAAGAAAATACTTTAAGGGTCATATCTTGTCGATAATTTTCGAAAATTTTTACCCATTTTGTCGCAGATGTCCCGTGAAAATCCCATGAAGAGCCGTCAAGCTTGTTTGTCTTGTCGATCTGGGATATTCTTGCCCTATTAAAAAAAAAAAGTAAATAAAAGTCAAACCGTATTCCTGGATAAGATTGGAATCTGTTGGTACAACAAAAAAAGTAACCTCGAGCCCATAGCTAGAATCCTGAATTCTCCCTGGTTCATTGTAGGGCTAAAAAACACCATTTTTTATATTTTACTTTTTCTCTGGAATTAATCGGGGAAAAAATTTGAAAAAATTCGTGAGTGTGCAAAATCAAATTGTACAATTGCATGAACTTTTTTTAGAGACTTTCTTTGTTGGTCAAAAAAATCCGTAATTTTACAATTTTACAAGAAATACATACTTGGAATACTTAGTCACTTGTGGGGCAACATAGGCTCGACGTACATTGTATCGTTTACGTCACTTCAGATTATACTAAATTTTAGAAATAAGAAATATAACTTTGTCGCATACGTATGACTTACACTATTATTATTATTCTATTTTTCCCAGAAATTAATTAATAGTTATGTTAGGCCCGAAGACCGAAAACGCTCAGTGGCCGGAAATAACGGCCACATCGCGTTCTGGCTGCCTTTGAACGCGCAGAACGCGTTTTGTCAATTGTTGAACGCTCACAACGCGTTCTTAATGTTCGACTTGTATTATTTGCCGCTTTCTACCTGCGTACAATGAGATGTATATTGTACTTATAAAACAAATGAATTTCAATCCATTTTTCAGTTTTTAGGAAACAAACGCGTTCTGGCTGTTTAACAGTTAGCAGAACGCGTTGCGAGCGTTTAAAAACAGCCAAAACGCGTTCTGTGCGTTCGAAGGCAGCCAGAACGCGATGTGGCCGTTTTTTCCGGCCTCTGAGCATTTTCGGTCTTCGGGCTTAACAGTTATATTCTTTAATGGCTAATACTGTAGGATCAACGTTAAATTGAAGCGAATTGTAGGTATAAGTATCTATAAAGAGTACCAATGTAATCTTCCAATAAAAACGTCGATACGGTATTCTAGAAAGAATTTTCTGAAATTTTAGGAAGGAGCCAACAATATTACTATGATATTTTATTCACCTGTGAACAAAGCACGAGAACTATTTGACAAACACAACAACTATGTAGGATTACCGCAATGTGTAGAAGATTCTTACAATGGCGAATGCCATGTAAATTTTATAAGAAAAATGCAGTCTTCTTTTGCTTGGGATTGGGGGCCAGCATTCCCATCAATGGGAATATGGTAAGCCGTTCGTATAGATATCAAATAAAATGCATTCGGATATTCGGAAAACGTTATGAGCTTTAAGTAACGACAAAGTTTAACTATTTTTAAAGTCGTCAAGAATCATAGTCTCCTAAAATATTAAAAAATACCAAACAAATGCACGGAGAAAATGAAAAACGAAAATTTACTTAAATATAAAAGCGATATTTACAATTTTTTCCACAAACCTGTCGCTTCGAAAACGAAAATAATAAAAATTATAATTTGAACTCGAATTTGTAAAAATAAAATCGCAGCAGAAATAAATTTACTAGGTATTTTAGTTGATTTTACAAATTCAATTGTAATAATTAAGAGACTTGAAATAATTTTCAGAAAAGCATGTCAAAATTGAGATTATTACAACTTACCTAATAAATTTTATTAAGGGTGTGTTCTAGACTTTTCATAATTATCGACATTACTTTCTTTCATGTATGACAGAAAATTTCAGCATTCAAGACAATTATTGTGTCGGTAAATAGAAAAGTTTGTGCTTAAAAGAATTATTAAATTAAATGAGCAAAACCAAGACCAAGACTGAATAACCAAGACCAATCAATCACTATTCCTTGTGTAAATTAACATTTTTTAATTCCAGAAAATCCTTTAATAAAGTAAGTTTTGATCCACAGGATCTTTGAAACTGCACTATCAACTGTTTGGATTACCTTTTTATAAAAAAAAAAAAATTTTTCCTACTCGTTATGGATCCGCTGCTACACGCGATCATGCGATTTTTCATTTAATTTCCCTTTTTAAGGAAACCTGTATTCCTGGAAGCCTACAATTATTCGGTAATACGCGATGTTACTATAGAAATAATTCATGATACTACAACGGACATGTGGGATGTGGATGTAAACGTTTATTTGGCAGGAAACGGCGGAAGCCAATGCAATCAAGGAACTCTGGTTATATCGTTAGATACTGAAAACGACACAATATCAAACGTATACGAAGTGAACATAGCGCCCAATGGAACTGTACAACATGCCAACGTTTCTATACCAAAGGTGATTTTTGAGATTTTTTTTTCTAAGGATTTCTTTTCCTAGAACTTAGGATGTCATAAAACTCATTTTTATAGCCGATTTCACGGAGAAAATGAAAAAGGGAAATTTACTTAAACATTAAAACGATATTTACAATTTATCCCACTATTCCGTTGTTTCGTAAGCGAAAATAATAAAAACTATAATTTGGACCCGAATTTGTAACAATAAAATCCTAGCGAAAACAAATTTACTAGGTACTTTAGTTGATATTACAAATTTAATTGTAATAATTAAGGAACTTGAAATAATATTTAAAAAAACGTATCACAATTGAGATTATTACAAGTTATCTATATAATAAAATCTACTATTTCTACGGCAAATTCACTCATTTACAATAGAAAATTGTAATTTTTGCGTTGTCATAAAAATTAGATTTCTTCGTGTTAGATCAACATGAAACAAATAAAGTTAACAATTGAATTTAAATTAAATTTTTTACCTGCATTAACACCAACATATACATATAGGTAGATAATAATTTTAGGACTAATAATCCTTTAGAGGTACATTTGATCCAAAGGATTTTTATCTCCATACGTAAATTCTGAACGCACTTAAATACATCTACATATATTCTTGTGAACAAAAAAAATGATAAGACTACGTTTCCTTCGTTCGTGCCGGCTATTCCTACCGTAACCTTATCTTTATCATTAAGCAATCAAGCATAAGCATTCTTGTTTTTCTGGAATATTACTTGTTCGTCATTGCTGCTCTAATAGAGATTTTATAGTGTTTGCAAGATTTTCAAATCGTGGGGTTAACTTTCTCGACCCCATTAAGTGCAGTTTCGTACCCTTGTAGAAAATAATTGGATCGGGCTGCTCAGCTACCCTATTAGGGCTCAAAAAGGAAAATTTGATCAAGCCAGAATCTTAAAGGACTGTTGGGTTTATATTGAAATAATTTAGGATTTTTGTGTACTTTTATAATACGGCAGTCAAATCAGGGCCGTACTGGGATAAATTAGGAATTCCATCTAAGTTTTCTATAGGGTAGTCAAGTTAGGGCCAGATTAGGATAAGTAATAAGTAATCCCCTAATAGAGCTATGATAAGGCAACCAGGTCAGGATCTATACAAATATAGAACAAAATTTACGTATGGTTATAAAAATCATCCGAACGAATTTTACATTAAAATGTATGACACACTATGGAATATACGTTTTCCATTTTTTTTTTTGAGGATGATCACATCCATTTTGAACAGTATCATTCGATTTTCGAAGGATATACGTGTCATTTCACTCCTTTTATAAGTTATTATTGTTTTTACACAGTACCATGTTAGACCTTGGTGGCCAAATGGATATGGAGATCAGGTTTTGTACAAATTTAATGTGACATTTACGAGTGCAGATGGAAGTGAAAAATCGGAAAAAATCATAAGGGTTGGTTTCAGAACAATCGAGTTAATTCAAGACGATGTAGGTCAGTTAATGTTTAATAATTATCTTTTTACAGATCATTTAATATCCTAATTGAAACTGCAGCGTTGTATTTGAAACTGATCGATTTAAATTTAATCAAATCACATTCGATTTCAAAAGCTTTAGATTAATGTGAAAGAACCCAATAATTGTACTCTTTACCAATCACATCATTAGCACATCATTTAATGAAAATTGATGAAAATTAATAGCTTCTGTGAAAATTTTAGTTAATTTACTAGAAAGTTTCGCTTAATTCCATTTCATCTCTTGTTTATGACCAATTGATTGTCAAATATCAAAAGCTGACTAAATAATAATAGACTAACAATAACAATAATTACATGTTTGTTCCTCTTTATGTAGGTTTGTAATTATCTAATGGAAATTTAGTTTTGATGTTAAATGTTATTTTAATTAATTGCGATTCCCGAACGAATAAATACCATTAACGTTGACTTTAAGTGAATGGATTTTAGGGAATGGTACAACTTTTTACTTCAAAGTTAATAGCGTTCCGATTTTTGCTAAAGGAACAAATATCATTCCCATTAGCATGTTACCAGAGCAATTGCAAAATGAAACGCAGTGGAGATTTTTGTTTCAATCCGCGAAAGAAGTGAACATGAATATGGTCAGGAATTGGGGCGGAGGCACTTATAAACCAGATTTGTTTTACGAATTGGCAGACGAATATGGCATTTTGATTTGGCAAGATTTTATGTTTGCTTGTGCTATGTATCCAGTGGAGGACGATTTTCTTGAGTGAGTTCTATAGTATTTTTTATTCGAGAATGCCAGGTAGCGCTAATGAGTATTGCGATTAGGGTTGCCACCTTTTCAGGCTTTACATAAAGTATTTCTCGACTAAATGGTTAAAAAAAAAAGTACTTAGCATAAAAATAAAGTATTTTATTTTTTGTTTTTAAAAACATATTTTTTGTTACACCTAGCAACAAATTTCTGTCGCTCTTAAATATATTAATATCCTCTAAACATAGCAAACAAAGATTTAAGTAAACTAAAAGTCCATTTTTAATTAGTTTTAATGAAGGTTTATTCCTGTCGTCCCGCCACTTTGTGTTCATAACAGAGAATACTCTTTCGGTAAATGCTGAAGTGGCCGGAACGGACAGTAAAAGTGACATTACTTTGAACAGATTTGGGAAATCAGGTTGTTCCTTAAATATGGCTTGTCATTTTTCTGTGCAATATTATTGATGTAAAAATACTCTGAATTTCTAATAATCGCTTACAAAATTACGATGTTTACTTAAGGTCATAAATAAAGTATTTTTACGTACTTTATGTGTCTTGTAAAGTATAACGTACGCACAGTCGAAATAGAGTACAATACTTTATAATAAAGTATGGGTGATAACCCTAATTGCGATCGAGGTTTGGATCGCGGAAGATCAAAAATTCGATCCCCAAAACCTTTTTCTGATTCTAATATGCTTTCATGTTTTAAAACAGTTGTACTACCAATCTATTTCGACTATTTTTTTTGTTCTCCTTTCTCAAATAAACTCGAGTTATCTGATTTCCTATATATCGAAAACCAGCGACTTCTTCTAATTTTTCATCTTCTGTATTTATATTAACTTTAACACTACTTTTACATGCCTTGTATACCAATATATTTGTTTTATTTTTACTAATTTGCGGTAGTTTGTTATCAAACGTACAGTATTGTAATATTCTTACAGAAATGTTAGGCAAGAAGTGGAAGGTACCGTAAAAAGGGTGCAACATCATCCAAGCATTGCCCTTTGGGCGGCTAATAATGAAAACGAAGCCGCCATAGCATACAATTGGTAAGTAGAATGGAGTATAAAAATAACCAAGGCCTTTTTAATAATCATAAAATAACGTTAATTAATCCATTTCATGATTGGGGTGAGTCTATTCTACCTTTATAAATAGAGGCTCAACCCGAATTACCATTAGGTAATGCTTTTTAGAGCTTTTTCGAAAGTTGGTGAAACACGAGTCTATTGTTAACATTATTAGCGGTAATTAGGACGAGTCTCTCCTACATTCATAGATAGAGGCTCATCCCAAAGACCCAATAATACTTTTCATAGTGGACATGTACTGTGCCCATTTCGAAAATGATTATTTTTAACATTAGCATTCTATATGGGCGAAACACTTGTCAGCTGCAAATAATATTATTAGTGGTAATTATACGGCGAGTCTCCCTTTTTGGTCGGACAGACGTTATGAGGATTTCCGATTGGAACCCTAATCAAAACAGTAAAGATAAACGCACATACGTCGGAATCAGACTGGCGAAATGGCTGGAATTTTTAAAATCCGCTGTGACTCCAAGAATCAGAAATAATATGCCGATGAATTTACGATGCTTTCGGAATTATTCCGATGGATTTCGCACGTATTATCTGCATGTGATCAGACAGTCTTTATCAGGAAGGCTGTTCTATATTTGTACTTTTATACTTGCATATGATTAGAGTTCTCACAGTTTTCAGCTTTTTCATAATCTTTAAAAAATAAAGTATTTTTAGGAAATTTAAAGAAATGCAGATTACTTTTTAGATCTTATTTATTCTTTAAAGTGGATTCGCCACTTTCTCATATGCTTTATTTTACTGATCTATCGTAACAGTTTTAAATATTATATGCCACTGTTCACTGACTAAGTTAACTTACGCGATGTTGCGCCTTAAGATTTTTATCAATTGTGTTTGTTAAAGGTACGGAACCGACATAAACTATAATTTATATAAAGCGGATTATATAAAGCTATACGTTGAAACGATAGCTCCGGAGGTGTTCTTGTATGACAAGTCGAAACCATTTACAACATCGAGCCCAACAAACGGAGTGAAGTCGGTCCAACAAGGTTTCATCGGAACTTTGCCCGAGTGCAGTCAATATGGAGACAGTAATGCAAAAGAAATAAATGTATGCTTCTTTGAATGCAACACTTTTTAACTTTCAGCTCATTACTATGATTATAGTGTAGACAGTTGGGACGCCGACACGTTTCCACGTACTAAGTTCGCATCCGAGTACGGTTTCGAATCGTTGCCGTCTCTTTACACGATGAGAACGGCGACGAACAACTCGAACGATTTGCAGATATTCTCAAAGTTCATGATAAATCGGCAGCATCACTACGGAGCCGAAGGATACAACCAGATGCTCTTCTTGATAAAGTTAAGACTACGTTTGCCGTCTGTGGATAGCGAGAATTTTATGAAAACTTTCATTTATTACAGTCAGGTTAGTTAATTCTCTATTTGCAGATATCACTGGTAGGCCTTCACGGGTATTGTGTGGTTTTGTTGGAATTATTTAGTTGACATTATATTTAGGACTATTATTGCCGTAATTAAACATAAAGTACCAACCATGGGCTGCAAGTCATTGTCGTAATAAGAGATCAAAGTTTAATCGGTAATTGTTTATAAGTCGTCCTCATATAACTTATTAACGTAGTTGGAATTACATAATTAATAAAGAACGTTTCACCCCTTTCTAGCTGCTTTTAATTGAAAATATCTTAATTTATTAATCTGTCGTGATCTATCTGTCTCATTCATTTATTTACGACTTGATCTGCAGTTGCTGTATCTTCGTCCACTACTTAGTTGCATCTATTAATCTCGTCTTTCCTTTTTCTTCCCTTACTAATGCCCCTGTGCTGCCTTCTTCTATCTTACCACCTTTCCACCTTTAATACGCTTGCTCCAGGTTTAGACTATTGCTTAGCGTTCGGTAGGTCCGGGTCTGTCTGCCTTTGTCCAAGTTTTTCTGTGGTTTCCACTTAGACAAATGCTGGGGGAGTGATATTCCACAGATAATCTTTCATTCTCTTCTGTCTTCATTTCGTCCGTCTCATCTTTCTCACCCGAACCACCATCCACCCATTCCCACGATTCCTGAAAGCAGGCTGAAGAAGGCCTTCCGCCCTACCTTCCGGCGTAGTACGGAGGGACTACCCGCCCACCAGCATTAGTGGCTGGTGGGAATGAAGCACCCAAGGTTTTTAAAAGTTTTTTTCACCAGGAACAGAGTACGAGAGTTATCGTCAAGCAGCGTGTTTTGTATATTCACTGTTTCTATTGACCTATTGGTTATTTTCACCAATTGTACTCACCGATTGAAAGAATTGTACATAGTTTAGTAGATGTTACAATAATTGGAACAAATAATTAATTAGGATTATTAGGATAAACACGCCGCCGATCCAGTGTCACCGGATCGTATGAAACAACATCATTGGGGAAGATAGTACAAAACATTGAAATGTATTAAAAATTATCAGTAGGTAAACTGAACAAGAATAGATCCTAAAATCAGAACTTTGAATTATAAAAGTTTAATTTTAGTTACCAATATTATATTTTCTTAGGAAAGACAATCTCAAATTATGACCAAAACTAGTGCTTTTCTCAACAGTAGTTTCAATCAATTGATAGTTAATCAAAGCGTTTAAAAATTTTAAATATTTTTTTGCACAGATTCAACAAGCTATGGCTGTCAAGATGCAATCGGAATTTTATAGAGCGATGCAAAACACCCTGTTTGAAGATGGATCTGGCTTATCAATGGGGGCTTTGTACTGGCAATTGAATGACGTTTGGGCAGCCCGTCTACATGAGATATCAATTTCGAAAAATTTATTTACTTACGTGGATTTTGAGTATACATACCAACATATTTTAGATTCCCAGAACCGATGGAAGATGTTACATTATTATGCCAAAGATTTTTTTGCTCCTGTAATTGTAACAGGCTATCTCGCTCGAACAGGAAATCTACAAATCTATTTGGTATCGGACAAAGTTGACACTATACCTAATGTAACGGTTAACATAAGAGTCCAAAATTGGATGTCATTTGAGCCAGTGGCCGAAGAGAAAATAAAAGTAGACATGGTAAAAGTTTACTGAGTATTTCACATTTTATTGAACGAATCTAACATGAAACAAATCTTTTTTGTAGCAACCGTTAAGATCTACCCTAATTAAATCATTTTTTGTCGATAATTATTTGGCCAGTAACGGCTGTGGAAGTTTGGGTATTGCCAGTAAACACTGCTTCATATATTTGACTGTAAATGATCCGTTTTCTTCAATTGCTCCCGATAATTATGTATTTCCTATACCTTTAAAGGATGCTCTTATTCCCACTCCAGCTTTAAAGGTAAGTTAAATAATATAATTTTCTGATACCCGAATTCGATAGAGTTTTCAGTTTAACAAAGATATGATTTATAAAAGTTGAGCGAAATTGAAATTTTATAAAAAATATGTGTACGGTTTACAAATGACGAAAATGATAACAATCACTACATAGTATAAAACAAAGTCGCTTCTCCGCTGTCTGTCCCTATGTATGCTTAAATCTTTAAAACTACGCAACGGATTTTGATGCGGTTTTTTTTAAAAGATAGAGTGATTCAAGAGGAAGGTTTATATGTATAATACATGCATAATATAATAGGAAAACACTAATAATTTTAGAGGTTTCTAATGTGATGTCGTAAATAAACACATTTTTTGCGCTTACATTGCAAACGCTGGCTTAACCCTACGAGATAGATCAAAATAATGTACTACAATATTGTACATCTTAAAAGGGTCTACAAAACAGTCAGCGATGGTATATGTCTATCTCTTAGGGATAACCCACAATAACCATTTTTATCCTTTACTTTCTATGAGAAATAATGACTTATTTACGAAGCGATTGTAGGCAATACAGCATTAATTAAGTACCTTAAATACATTATGCATTTAATATAGATCAATATGGCCCTTACAGCATGTAATTTAAATGAATATATATATATAGATATTACAGATTTAAAATACAGGGACATAGCAGTTGCGGCGGTACGGTTTGTATTGTCTAATGACAAAGAAACTGTGAATGTTGTATATAAAGACATTTTGTAGTATATTTAGTATGTTCAGGGGGTATCTTTTGATGATTTCCCCTTTTCGATAATAATCTAAACAAAACAAAAATATATTTAGTATCAGCATTGCACCCGTGCGAAGCTGGGCGGGTCACTAGTAATTGATAAACAAAATGTGAAAAAAGTTAAAAACTGACGATAACAAGTTGCGAGCGAGATTTGACAACGAGGATTCACAATGGTTTGTTGTGTAGTACATAATATCTAACGAAAATAATTAGTCCGGTCGACGGGGGATGTCTACAGCCCCCATACCCCCTCCCCTGGATCCTAATGTAGACGATGGGACCCTCTGTTGAGTTACTCTCTTCTTTTTCAGTGGGATCCAACATAACTTAACCACTTTCCTTTGTTTTGTAAGCGGGTACTATTCCCTGCCACCCCATTTTCAATTATTCAGCTCCATTTGTATAGTGTTCTATTAGACCACCCTTACATCCACCCCCTTCCCACTCATATCCTTCCCCGCTGACTAAACTGGCCATTCGTATACCTTCCCAGATATCTATAATAAAAAAAAAATACTTCTGTCTTTGCGATGCTATTGATTTTAATTTTTGGGCCAGTGCTTCGTAATACCAAAACTTTTAACATTTACATATAAATCAATTTTTTTTATCCTGTTCTAGATCGTGTCCGTAGACATGGTATCGCCCGATGGAAAGGAATATGATATTGGTTTGGAGTCAGATAACATCGCCTTGTACGTTTGGTTGGAAACTGCCGAAATTTTGGGAAAATTTTCGAAAAATGGTTTCCTGATGTTGACACCCAGTGCCACAGTTAAATTTTATGCCAACGAACCGACGACCACTCAACAACTAACGGCAGCCCTTACAGTAACGAATTTATTTGACGAACAGTATTTGTAGGACATATTACTAAATACATAAAAATATAAATAAATAATGTTTGTACAAAGTAATTATTTAGTAAATTATTGAATAAGAAATGTGTCTATTAACAAATTAAACTATTTGCTTTAAAGTTTACTGAAGATGTTTTATTTTTAAACTCTTTTGAATAATTAAAGTTGCGAATGAAAAATTAGAAGTTACGCATAAGTATTATGAGTCATTGGGAAATTTGAAAGTTGGCTGTTTAAATTAATTGAACAATTAATGAAATTAAATTTTTAAGTTTAATATCGTTTGAGTAATAGTGATTATATCAATACGTGAACGGATTTTTTTAAACAACAGCCTGACTAGAATTTATAGGGAGCATATGTAGCATGCCCCATGTAGCGTGCGCGCCTGATGGAGCTAATGAGGGGCATACCAATATAGGGATTTCTCGGTAGATTCCTCATGAAAATACCACCAAAACAAGTTGTGACATTAAAATGAGGATTGCTTTATGGGTTTTTTCATATGGGCTTTAAGGGACAAACCTATCACATATATAAACTTACAATTAAATTTACCTTATGGGGACTTCATGAGGCAAGTTTGAAAATACTCTCGGTAATGAAAAAACTTATTATAAACCCAATTATGTCGTCGTTTCAATGAAATCTTTTACATTTGCAATGAACCAACAAGTGTACTTCCTAACACTGTTATTATAAGACAACTGAAACCAGACGCAACAGGTCGAACAACAGTAAAACGATTGCAAAGTTCATTTTCCCAAAAAATTTTAATGGGGTAGTAATAATTTTTCCCTGCGGGGGGCACATGCGGCATTCCTGATGATGCGCAAATGCGGCAAGGCGTTATATGCCCCTTCCTTTCCCCAGGGGGCAACCTCATGGGGCTCATAAGACCTAGTATGGCTAGCCACTTAGTGACCCCATCTGCACTCCCCTAAAAATTCTAGTCGGGAGATGGTGGCAGATGTTTTAAAATAAGAAAAATTGCAAAAATACGATTTAGGAGCCCAATTAGGTGCAAGTTACAAAAATTAGCCAACAAATCCCAATAAATCGTTACTTTCAGTTTTGAGGTGACGAAGTCAAAATACTCTTTTTAAAACTGGGGCTACATACTCCCTTTCCCCCTTCTGAACGTTCAGTAGCCGTTTTTGAAATCAGTAATGGATTCAAAACACTGCGAAAGTGCGCGAAATGACGTAAAAGCAGTCAATTTAATTTTTTTACAACTTGGGCTTTGTAAAATTTCATCCGGCACTATTAAGCACTGTTATTGAATTTAAATTGGAAAAAAAAGTCTTATTACCCAGCAAACAAAGCTGATACAATTGAAGCAACTAATAACACACCTTTGTCGTATTAGCCGACAATTAAAATGTCTACATTTAATAGGAATTGTTACTTAAAAATCACTCAACCTTGAGACTACTGTCAAACAGAAAATTTTATTGGAAAAGTGCCAACAAGTACCTATGTAGGTACTTACAATACTTTCAAAATTACAAAAAAATATCCATTGAGTTTAAGTAGGTGATACGTACTAAGATTTTTTCTACATTTGTTTGTTAATGATAATTGTTTAAATCAATGTGTAATTTAGTATGACATTTAGCAAAATTATCGGCCTATGGACGAGTTCAACTATGGTCCTTCTAATAATTCAGTCAAAAATTTAAAAAATGATAATAATATTAATAATATAAGATTGTGTTAAATGTAATAGTACTATATTTCAAAATGATTTAAACGATTATGAAAAAATATAAAAGAAATTCTTAGAATTAGCTGCTTAAACTGAAAGAATAATTTTGAAAGTGCCCATAGTAGGTAAAGTATATGCATAGATATTTGTTGTTTTTAATTTTAATTGTTCGGTAATATGCCTATAAAACTAAAAGTTAACAGGTGTAGGTATGTATGTAATTCCTCATATTTAGACTAGTTTTCCATTAAAATTTTCTGTTTGCGTGACCTTAATATTTACAGACGTACGTGTTGTATCTTATCAAATGATAAGCAGGTCACAGGTAGACAGGGGACGGTTAATTACTATGTGTAATTTAGAATATAAAAAAAAATGTAGAGTGCATTCTACTGACATATTAACTTACATACTTTATACATTAGTATTTGTTGCGAAATCGTACTAGAAAAGGTAGTATACAATGTAGAAAAGGCAGAAATTATTGAAGTAATAAAATAACAAACTAAAAACAGTTTTTTAATAAAATTTTTCGTTGATATAATTAAATATTTGATGGACAGTTTTTTAAAGTTTACTTAGTGGAAAAATTATTAACTTTTAAATTTTATTATTTTAAAGAAAGCATTGCACCCGTG